GTTTGAACACACTTGGGCGATTGCTTCTTTTGTGAGTAGCTGATGACGGCCTCCCCTTTGGGTTGTCTGATGCCGGCCACGTGGTGCCCCTTTTCGGCCCCGAGAGTTTACCTTGGTAATTTAGTCCAATTTTTTTTAGCTTTCGTCAGTTACGCATTATGCTTTGCCTGATATGTACTTGAACAATTTTGGGGATTTTTATTTTTATTGCTCGAGGCCGGCGAGTGCGCGGCTCATCAGCTTCCCTCTTTTATTTTTTGGGGATATCGCTTAAGGCCGGCAAGTGCGCGGCTCATCGGATGTCCCTCTTTTATTTTTTGGGGATGTCGCTTCAGGCCGGCAACTGCGCTGCTCATCGGTTGTCCCTCTTTTATTTTTGGGGATGTCGCTTCAGGCCGGCAAGTGCGCGACTCATCGGCTGTCCCTTATTTATTTTTCCTCTTTACTTATTTGAGCGAGGGGTGGGTGTCCTTATTTCAGGCTTCGGCCAAGGGGGTCGATAGTCTCTTGGCCGGTAAGGAGTCCTACTGGATCGTCCTGGTATCAGAGCGAGGTTGGTTTTCAAATTGGGGATATACAAATAAAAGTTTCCTTTAAGTAATTATGATTTTCAAAAAGATTTTCTAATCTTTTCTGAGATTTTCTAAAATTGTTATTAGAGCATTGTTTTCTAAAACATATTGAAAATTTTTCAAGAAGTTTTTTTTTCCTAAATGTTTTTCAAAAAGCTGATAACAGATTTCCAAAAGCTTTTTAAAGAAAAGATATTTAGGAGTAATAACATAAATCAGGAAGAGTATGTTTAGGATCGCGGTGAGGATTGTGACACCTTACAGATATCGATTTTTTTTTATTAAGTTGCGAAATGCATGGAATTACTTGTTTGTGTAAAATATATGCGGTTGGATAGTATCTTCGGAATGCCTATGTGTAATAGAATTTGGATATAGACTTAGAGTAGGACTTGTATTTTTTTAAGATAGCATAGAGAGACTAGAAGTAGAGCAGTTAAAATGGTGAATGTATTATGGTCAAATTGTTTGACTGAAAACGCTACTTGGAAGACCTATGAAGTTATGCGCAAACGCTACCCTGAGTTATTCGATTGAGGTGATATTTTAGTTACGAGAGCGTAACCTCTCTTTTAAGGGGGGTAGAATGTAATACTTAAGAAATTCATCATTGGATTTTAGTTTATGCTTCGGGACATGAGGAGTTCATACAACACCTCAAGACCAAGGAGCTTCTTGCCATTCTCCATCTCTCACAAAAGTTGGTCACAAAGCAAGTTGAACACTCTGAGACAATTGGTCAAACATGAACTGATGTTGCCAAACACCTCACTGACCTTCACCAAGCCACACAAGAGGCATTCCTAAAGCATGGGATTGACCTTCAAAGACTGGGCCAGAATTTGGAGGCAACTAATCAAAGGGTTCAAGGGCTCGAAAATGAAGTCAGAGATAAGGTAAGAACAGATCTGTTGGACGTCAACAACTACATCAAAGCATTATCTATCACGGTATATGGCTTAGATCCATCAAAGAGAGCAGAAGAAGTTGTTTCTGATCCAGAGATAGAAGCATTGTTCGATAAAAGCAAGACCCCTGCTCATGATGCCAAAAAGGGGGAAAGGACAACACAAGCAGGCCCCTCATCTAAAAGATCCCTAACAGCCAAGAAAGCAGCTGAAACCAGAATGAAGAACAAGCGGCTACAAGAAGAAATGGAAATCAGAAAGAGGAAAGCTGAAGAAGCCAAGGCTAAGGAGGAAACCAAGAAGAAAGCAAAAGAGAGAGAAGACTAGGATAGATCAAAAGTCCGAAACTGACTATAAACTATTGTACTCTAGACTTTAGAACAATGTACAATAATTCAATGAAAATCAATAAACATATTTGGTTCTTGTGTTGTATAGTTTTGGCATCATCAAAAAGGGGAAATTGTTAGTACCCAGTTTTGATAGATTTTGATGATGCCACTATACTTTGCACGTTTACATTGTGTCTCATTTTATAGCATTCAAATTTAAGTGACAAATGTAAATGTACCATTTTTTAGACTAAAGAAATATTACCGGAAAAGTAAAAATACAATAAGGTAATTTTTACCTTCATAGGATATTTAGATCCTACCGGCAAATATTATTTAGCTCAAAGTTTAATTAAATGTCACAAAAAGAAAATAGGTTCAAAAATCATATACATTGAATTTACATGATTGAAGACAAATCTTGACCGGTATTTAATACCGAATCAAGTACTAAGGGCGGCAGCATGGGACGCACACATAGAAGATACTTCAGCGCCCAAAATTATTGAAGACAAACGTTGCAGGCAGTTAATGCTGATCAAGTACTGGGGTCCAGAGCATTGAAGTGCACACATGAGACTGCCTCTGAAGGGATACTTCAGCGGCTGAATTATTGAAGACAACATACACGTCCAGAATCAAGCTCCAACACAAGAAGACGAAGAGCAAATCGTCCTCGCCAATATTCAACGGAAGAGATCAATCTATCCTAACCAACGGATAAGATTGATCAGCCAAAAAGCCTATAAATAGAGGCTGAAACGAAAGTTTCTAACCAACCTTGAGCATCTTAAGTAGAGAGATATTTCTTTGAGCATTCACGAAATATCCAGCAAAAGAAGAAGTGCTATTCTATCCACGACTCTCTGCTTAGACTCTTGCTTCACTAAACTTCTTAGTATCAAAAGTTCATTGCCAAAATCCTAGAAGTTTAGTTCCTAGTTGGAGGTTAGAACTTTCTTGTAACAAGATCAGAAATTGTTGTAAACACTTCAGGAGGACAGTTGTTCCCGACCTGAGTGTGGTTAGATAGGTCAGGAGTACCTTTTGATCCCCACTGGATCAATTGAGAAAAACCTAAAGGATTGAGTAGCTTGGAGTGGTGTTGTACTCCTCGTGAAACACCTTCAATCTAGGCCAGAGTTGTCAAGGCTAGATTGACACTAAGTGTATTGGGCTTAATACATTAGTGAAATCCATCTGAAAGAGGGTGTGACTGGATGTAGGAGGATTGCACCACCTCTGAACCAGGATATACTGTGTGTTGATTTATTTTCAGTCAACAAAGCACACACTGAACACTTCTCATAAAAGATTGTAGTTTGCCAGCAGCATCCTAAGCAGTAGGCTTAACTTGACCCTACTGCTTATCCTACTGCTTAATAACTCATTTTCTTTGAGATACAAGAGCTTTACAATATCACAACTATAAGGTCTGTTCCATTAGATTTCAGGAAATCCTACTTAAGGCATAGCAGTTGCCTCAGCAGTCCCCTAGTGACTACCCAACTGCTAAGCCCATTGCTCACTCAAAAGTGTTTCCTTTGAACATCTCCACTTCACCAGACCTTCAAAACTCTATCTCCAAGAAGTCCATTCAAACTGATCACTGTAATTCAAAGTGGTAACCCAACAGGTCTCTCATCAGTTCCCTCAATATCACCCAACTGCTGAGACCACTGCTCCAGTAAAACTCCCACTGACTTGAATTAATGCACATCTTCAGAAAGCCCACATCATCCTGAGAACCACCATATAATCAATCTTCCCATACCTTCACTTTTACTTAAGCAGGTGCCTCAGCAGTTCCCTGGTCACCACCCAACTGCTGAGAACACTGCTCTCATTAAGATTGATTATCAATCTACCTTGTCATATCATCAGAAAGATCTTCCCACTCTAAGAAAGATTCTGAGTGCACTTTCATCATACACTGAGCATTTCACTAGCAGTTGCCTCAGCAGTTCCCTGCTTTCTAGCCAACTGCCAAGCCAACTGCTCACCTTACAAAGCCCAAACTTCATCCATCATAGAAAGTTGTTATACATCATTTATCTAAGAGGTTAAAGATTTCCGCTGTGCATCTATAAATCTCCCAAAAGATTATAGATCAACTCATCTAGAAGGGAAAAGTTTTAAAGTTGAAAAAGCTTTAAAAGTCTATTCACCCCCCTCTAGACTTTTACCTCTATCCGGGACCATCAAGTATAATAAGTCTGATTTATCACACTTAATTAAATCTATCAAATAGAACTCTTCTTCAACATGACGAATTAAATATAGTTAATCTAACTAATATTTAATTCATTTTCAGTATTACGAATTAAATATTATTTAATCCAATTAATGTTTAATTCCTTCTGACAATTCTATCGGAAGGTATAATCACTTATTATGTGACCCATAGGGCCTTATATATTAAGCACTAATCAAATCAAGGTCTTAATAGAATCCCTAGACGATTTACCGGACAAACTTAATATATCAGGACGTTTGCGAGGACTATTCAAACTCCCTGTAATATAGAGCTCATAGTGATACGGTCCTTTCATTCAACGAACATTCAACTAAATCTAGAACATGATATTATGTCTATCCCAATAACTTAGTCTCTGTCTCTCAATCTTTCTAGATGATCCATAACGATCATATTCGATATCCAAAATGAATATATCTTTGCATTGGCCAATGACTTTATGATCCATCTAGATATGAGAAGTAGAATGTTCTCTCTTAATCTATTATGATGAATGAATCCTTTCTTGTCTCAACTACTACTCCATGTGCTTCGTGATGCACCCAACAAATGCCGTATCTACCCTGATTGGAGTGCAAGTGTTGGTCATGGTCAAAGTACATCACTCCGCACATGTAGTACGTATTGACCTCAAGTCGGAGGACTATTACACTACTCTATACGCCGATAATCCTATAGACACATGAATATAACTTATCAAATGGTTTCTCGGTGGGTATGTCACTATTCTCTAAAATATCTATCTGACCATCATGAATTACAAGAACTCATAGTTGTGAGATCAACTATACTTTCTAAAAGTATGATGCAGTCCACATACCAATCTTATCGCATATCATCAATATCCCATTCTTGATGATCATTGATTGGGGCTATTTTAGGACCTTATGTTATATCATATAAGCTCCCACTTACTTATTGACAACATAAATCCAAGGGAACACAATTATGAATAAAACATTGACAATCGAAAACAATCATTCATAAAGTGTAATACCGTGTATATATCAAATATAAAAACTAAATGTGATCAAGTACATATGTCTCTAAAAAAATGATTGTCGCTAGGACATATATACTAACACTACCCCCTTCAAAACTCACCTTTTCCCTAAGGTGAAAATTGGGAAACAATGATTTAAACTCAGACAACTCTTCCCAAGAATGTTCAAAACTAGGCAAGTCCTTCCAGTGAACTAGTATCTCCTTACTCCCATTCAGAGACTTCCTAGCAGCCAACACCTCTTCTGGTTGTGTTTGTAGTTCCCAATCCTCAGTTAAACATCTAGGTAGAGGTTGAGTAGGAATGTTAGGGGCCACACTTTTCTTCCACAATGAAACATGAAACACTGAGTGTACCTTACAATCTTCTGGCAGTTTTAACTTGTAAGCCACTGGATTTATTTTGTCAAGAACTTCAAAAGGGCCATAAAATCTTGGGCTTAGCTTCTGGTTCAGCCTCTTCGCAAGACTTTTCATTTTGTATGGTTGTATTTTGAGAAACACCCTGTCTCGAACTTCCAACTGAACATCCCTTCTGTTTTTATCTGCCTGTTGCTTCATTCTATTTTGAGCCATAGCTAGATTTTGCTTCAACTCCCTGATCATTTCATTTCTTTCAGCGGTGAGTTTGGTTACTTCTTCAACTGTTGTTCTTGTTGCATCTCCTAAGATTAAAACGGGAGGCTCATGGCCATATAAGGCTTTGAAAGGAGAAGTCTGCAGTGAAGCGTGATAGTTTGTGTTATACCAAAACTCAGCCCATGGTAACCACTAGGGCCACTTCTTAGGTCTGCTACCAGTGATACACCTCAGATATGTTTCAAGGCAACGATTAACCACTTCAGTCTGCCCATCCGTTTGAGGGTGATAGGCGGTACTGTATTTTAGTTTGGTACCTGCAAGTTTAAAAAGTTCAGACCAAAATGAACTTAAGAATAAACTATCACGATCTGATATGATGGTCCTGGGAAACCCATGTAGCTTCACAACCTCCTGAATAAACATCTCTGCCACACTCTTAGTGGTATAAGGATGGCCCAATGCCAGAAAATGAGCATATTTGGCTAGCATGTCAACCACCACTAGTATGGTGTCCTTCCCCATCGTACTGGGTAACCCCACAATGAAATCAAGACTAATATCAGTCCAAATATGATTTGGTATAGGCAAAGGTTGCAGTAACCCAGCAGGACTTAGAGCTTGGTACTTGTTCCTTTGATATACCTCACAACTCTTCACATAATTTTGGATATCTTGCCTCATTCCCTCCCAGTACAACACTAGATATTCTTTTCAGTGTTCTGAGATAGCCTGCATGTCCCCCACAAGCTGAGTCGTGAAATTCTTTCAGTACTTGAGTGATCCTTGCAGACTTCTTGGGTAACATGAGCCTATCTTTGTAGTAGATTAATCTTTTTCTCAATTTAAAGCCTGGTTGGGATTCGGGTTGTGACACCAAATTTTTAATTAATTGACTGCACCTAGTATCCTGCAGTAATTCTTCCTCTAATCCCTGCCATTCTTGGAAACTCACAACTGAAAGAGCTTGATAGCTTGCCTTCCTGGACAGTGCATCCGCGACTTTATTCTCCAACCCGGTTTATAATTAATGTTGAAATTGTATCCCAACAGCTTTGTTATCCGCTTTTGTTGCTCTTCACCCATTAACCGTTACTCTGTCAGAAATTTCAAACTTTTCTGGTCTGTGTGTATTTCAAAGCTCCTACCCAATAGGTAAGGTCTCCATTTTTCAATGCCATTACTATTGCTAGCAATTCCCGTTCATAAACTGACTTATTTTGGTTTCTGTTGGATAATACTTTGCTCATATAAGCAATAGGTCTGTCATCTTGCATCAAAACAACCCCTATCCCTTGTCCCGAAGCATCAATCTCGATTATGAACATTTTGTTGAAATCAGGGTTAGCTAGCACCGGTAATGTAGTCATGCTGTCTTCAATCTGTCAAAAGCACTAGTGGCCTCATGTGTCCATTTAAATCCACCCTTTTTCAATAGGTCTGTGAGTGGCTTTGCTATTTTACTATATCCTTTTACGAATCTCCTGTAATAACCTGTTAACCCCAGAAATCCTCGGAGTCCTTTCACATCTTGAGGCATATTCCAATGTAGCATGTCTTGTATCTTACTGGGATCAGCCGAGACCCCTTGAGCTGATATTATATGACCCAAGTAAGCGAGCTCTCTCTGCCCAAAATAGCACTTTTTTGTTAACCACCAACTGGTTGTCCTGAAGCAATTTCAGCACCTTCCTTAAATGTTCCCGATGATCTTCCACAGTTTTGCTATATACCAGTATATCGTCAAAGAAAACAAGGACAAATTTCCTCAAATATGGCTTCAAAATGTAGTTCATCAGAGTTTGAAAAGTAGAAGGTGCGTTGGTTAACCCAAAAGGCATAACCACATACTCGTAATGTCCTTCATGGGTTCTAATGGCTGTTTTAGGAATGTCACTTTCCTTCATCGGAATCTGATGGTAACCAGATTTCAGATCGAACTTCGAAAACACATGAGCTTCTCCCAATTCATCTAACAGTTCTTCAATTACAGAAATAGGAAACTTGTCAGGGATTGTAATTTTGTTGAGGGCTCTGTAATCCCCGCAAATTCTCCAGCCTCCTTCCTTCTTCTTGACCATAATAACTGGACTGCTGTATGGGCTCGTACTGGGTCTGAGAATTCCAGTATTCAACATATCATTCACCAATTTTTCTATCTCATCTTTTTTATAATGAGGATATCGATATGGCTTGGAATTTGGAATCAGTGCTCCTTCTTTGATGTTTATAGCATGGTCACATGCTCTTTTAGGAAGTAAACCTACCTGCTTCTGAAAAACCTTAGGAAATTCTCCTATTAGCTCTTCCCATTCCCTCCTAAGTTCCTGATCTTGCTTGCTGGAATCAGTTACCTCATAATGAATGAGGTACCCTTCTCCTTCTTGCTGTAAAGTCTGTAGCACGGATTTCCATGATGCCTTGGTTCTGTTTAACTCCAGACCTCCCTTGAGCATCTTATCTTTCCCTTTCTCCTTCCATTTGATGGATAAATCACTGAAATTTACCTGTACCTCACCAAGGCTAGCCAACCATTCAATTCCTAACACAAGATCAGTACCTCCTAGTTCCAAAAGATAGAAATCTTGAGTAATACATAATCCTTGAACCCGAATTGGGAGTTGTTCACATTTTCCGTTATTTACAAAATAATCTCCATTTCCCAGCTTGACCTTGAACCCAGAGTTTGCATTGTAATTCAGCCCCATATCTTTAACCAAACTCTGATAAATGAAGTTGTGGGTATCACCTGAATCAATGAGGATTATGACTGATTTGCGTTGGCTCGTAGTCCTTATCTGGACCCTGACTTTGAAAGTGTTATAAGTATTCATTCCTTCCTTACTTAAAATAGATAACTGCATCTCGTTGGTTTCACCTCCTGGGTCAGTCTCCCCTGTATCCAACACCTGCAGTTCACCTTCTTCATTTTCTTCTATTGATTCCACCAAGATTAGCTGGTAGTTTTCATTTTGCATAGGTGTTCTTTACTCCATTTTCCCCCACATTTAAAACATAGTCCTCTTCTAGTTCTTTCATGTAGTTCAGCTTGGGAAAGTCTTGGTCCTCCCTTCCATTGTTTATTGAACACCCTAGAAGGTTCACGTTGAGCTTCTGAACTGTCTTTCTCTAGTATAGGAATTTTTGGTGTGACAAATTTCCCTATAGTTCCTTCCGCGTTGTATTGACCCTTGGATGGATTCATTCACGAACTTATCCATCCTCTTATGTCAGTTTCCTTATTTCGTCCCCTTTTTGATGTCATATTTTTCCGTTCAACAAGCAGAGCTTTGTCCATAAGATCAGTTAACCCACTAGTCTGGTACACTTCAACTCTGAGCTAATTTCTTCTTTGAGGCCATTGAAAAATACTCCTTTTAACATCTCTGGGTCAGCAATTTTGAGGGGAACTACCACCATTTTAAAATGATCCCTGTACTCCATTACTGAATTAGTTTGCTTAATTTTTAGCATCGGACCGAATGGATTCTGAACTAAATCCGGATGGAAACGTCTGATCAATGCTTCTCCTCCTCTCATTAATTATGCTTTTACTGTTTTGCCCTTTTATTTCTCCTAGAGTAGACTCTAGAAAAGTCCCTTTCGACATTAAATTTTAGAAGACCTGGGTTCTCATTAGAATTTCAGTGGGGGATTGTCCAGTACATGAGCTTGCAAGTAGGAGTAGGTTTGTAAAATTGTTATGGTAGAAACATTGGTGAAGTCACTGTTTGTAAAATTGGTAGGACACCTAGGAAGAGAGACCTAAACAGTTCTTTACAACAACCTTATTTGTGAAAAATCAAGGCTATCTATTAAGCAGGAAGATCTCCATAAACCATTATGCTTGCTCTTTTATGAATGGTTAGATGATGATGATGATGATGTTATTGTTTTATCACTAATTCTTAGGGGTCTGATAGAGAGCGGGAAGAGCATGGGGCGGGACCGGGCTTGGGCCCACTTCCGTGGGCCGGGTTAGGGCTATCGTTATAGTTTAATTATTATTAAGTTAATGTTATGTTTTAGTTTGGGCCTATTAATAGTAGAGTAGTTAGTTGAGTTAAATTGGGCTTAATTAGGGTTTAATTAATTTGGGCTTAATTAGAGTTTCTTGTAGAAGGCTATTTATACCCCTCGCCAGGGTTCATTCTGATTATCTGGGAATAATGTTAGAGTTTAGCCTTTTGGCTTTGGGCAACGGTATTTTTATCGTTGATTATCTGGGCAACGGTTTACCCCGTTGATTTTTTATTTTTTTGCTACACAACAATTGGTCCAACCTGCCGGATCCCGTCCCGCCAAGATGACGAGATCTCAGAACGATCGACTAACAGAGGTGGAGAACGAACAAACTCGCATGGGAGAGGAAGTGGCCCGACTAGGGGCTGAGCAAACCCGGATGGCAATCGAGCAGATGCGGATGAACCAGACACTTGAAGATCACGGCACAAAGCTGGCTGAAATCGCTGCCTCGCTGGCCGCGTTGACCCAGGCACGGGTGGCACCTGTTTCGCTGTACGCCGCCGTGGCTGGAGTCAGAAGTGCTGCCGTGACAGCACCCATCACCGACAACCTGCCGCCGATATTGCAGGCAGCTTCCTCGGCTGCGGTCGGAAGTGCGACCGTACCAGCGGCCAATGACAGCGGACTGCCCAGCGCAACCACCGCTTTCCTTCCCTCGTTCGACGGTGAAGACCCCATTGGGTGGCTGATGAGAGTAGAGCAACAATTCGAGCTCAACAGAACCCCACCGGACCGACAAGTTGCAGCGGATAGGGTTTCTATGGAAGGGGTGGCCCTCTATCGGGTGACTTAGTTGAAGGCGCGCAAACCCAACATTTATTGGGAGGAATTTAAGCAAGCCTTGGTGGCCAGATTTGATTCCCGATATCAGGGAAACAGGTTTGAACGGCTGTCCGGCGTCAAACAAATTGGGTCGGTGGAGGAATACAATACCTTGTTTGTTCAACTGGCTAGTCAAGTTCCGGGATTGACCGATGATCATTATTTTGGCTATTACATGAGTGGACTTAAGGAAGCAATCCGAAGTTCGTTGCAATTACTTCGGCCAGAAAACCTTGAGATGGCCATGGAAATAGCTCGTGATGTGGAGCATAATCTGTCCGTCCAAAGTGGAGGAAGTGGCAGCCCGAATTATAATTCTTCAGGGGTACGTTCCAGCAGCTTTTTAATGGCAAACAGTGGTCCTCCGTTGAGTACCAGTGGAGGTAGCTCGCACGGATCAAGGAGCAGCTTTGTGAAGGATAGTGGACAGCCCCCAGGGACAAACTTAGGGTTGTCTAGGCAGCCTACGACACACTCTCAGTTCACTCGTCTTCCGACAAAGGAGTTTGCAGAATTGAGGGCGAAAGGATTATGCTTTAGGTGTAAGAAGCCATTTACACCGGGGTATGACTGCCCCTTTAAGCAGTTGCGGGTAATGATAGCCGAGGAGGATGAGGAGTTGGACCTCCAACAACATGAGTACTGTGAAATAACCAGCCAGGAAAGGGGTCAAGACCACGAGGAAGGATATTTTCCAGTCTATTCTATGTCTGAAAATTTCAGTTCCCCGTCTGGGAGATTTTAACCATGAGGACAAGGTTATTTTGAAGGAGGATGGATTGATAGAGAGCGGGAAGAGCATGGGGCGAGACCGGGCTTGGGCCCACTTCCGTGGGCCGGGTTAGGTCTATCGTTATAGTTTTATTATTATTATTATTATTATTATTATTATTATTATTATTAAGTTAATGTTATGATTTAGTTTTGGCCTATTATTAGTAGAGTAGTTAGTTGAGTTAAATTGGGCTTAATTAGGGTTTAATTAATTTGGGCTTAATTAGGGTTTCTCGTAGAAGGCTATTTATACCCCTCGCCGGGGTTCATTCTGATTATCTGGGAATAAAGTTAGAGTTTAGCCTTTTGGCTTTGGGCAACGGTATTTTTATCGTTGATTATCTGGGCAACGATTTACGCCGTTGATTTTTTATTTTTCTGCTACACAACAGGGTCAAACATGAGTGCTGAAGAACTGACATGTTGTTATGAATTCAAGAGCATTCCAGACATTCTAGGTATGAATGTTATGAGCCTTCTCGGTAGCCTGATTCGGATTATTCAACTCATAAGTATAAATAGAATACTTAGAATAAGTAGTTTCTTCAGTTACTAATTTGGCTATAAATGTTTTTGTTGGAAAAATGTGTTAAAAATTGCATTAATTGGTCATTTTGGGGCAATTATTTGAGTGGGGTCCACTTCCGATTTGGGTCGGGTCAAAGTGGTTTCGGATTGTCCTTGTTAAGGGCTACAATTCGATATGTGGTACACTCAAAATGGATAACGGGTGAATGGGAAATTGATTCTCAACAAACACTTCCAGCTACTCTGCAAATTCCTTCTGTGTTCATACTTGGTTCTCGTTCGCTGGAACTCGTGTTTGTGTGCTGAAACATTAGTTCGTAGTCATCGTATCCTGGGAAACGATTGTTGCAATGCTCCTAGCACTGTGGGAGGCAACAAATACGTTTTAAGGACATCGTGCGTAGCACGAGCTTTGACTAATTCTACTTCATCTCCTTTCTTGTTTTTCTCTAGTCATTTTATTTAATTAATTTATTTTAATTAATTTCCTTATTGTTCATGGCGCCAAGGCAAACGTGGTGGAGCATGCAAAAGGCTCCAAAACCAAGAATAATGGGAAGAGCAAGCTCGGTCCCAAGGGAGGCGTTTCCAAGACAAAGTTTAATGGAAAATGCTTCAATTGCAACAAGAATGGACACAAGTCCTCAGATTGCAAGGCACCACGGAAGAAGAAAGACTCCCAAGTCAACTTGGTGCAAGGTGGGCAAAAGGATGAAGACATCATCCTAGCGGATGTGGTTATGGAAGTCAACCTCGTTGGATCCAATTCCAAGGAGTGGTTCGTGGACACCGGTGCAACCCGGCATATTTGCTCAAACCGGGAGTTATTCACTACTTTTGAGCCATCAAATGGTGAGAAGGTGTGGATGGGAAACTCGGCTCATTCCGCGATTGAAGGTGTGGGCAAAGTGGTCCTGAAGATGACTTCGGGCAAGGAGCTGACTCTCAACCAAGTGCTGTTCGTTCTGGAGATACGCAAAAACCTGATTTCCGGTTCGTTGTTGAACAAGCATGGCTTCCGCATGGTCTTTGAGTCGGACAAACTAGTTTTGTCTAAATCGTGAATGTATGTGGGCAAGGGGTATGCAGTTGATGGGCTGTTTAAGCTCAATGTAATGAATATTAATAATAATAATAATAATAAAATCCCTTCTACTTACTTGCTTGAGTCTTCCAATGTGTGACATGGTAGACTAGGACATTTTAATTTTAATTCTATACGTAGATTAATTAACATGGAACACATTCCTAAATTCAAAATTGATGTGAAGCACAAATGTGGAGTTTGTGTAGAGGCAAAACTAGCGAAAACGTCATTCAAATCAGTTGAAAGAAAAACGGAACCACTTGAATTAATTCATAGTGACGTTTGTGATTTTAAATCAATACAAACACGTGGCGGTAATAAATATTTTATTACCTTTATCGATGATAGCACTCGCTATAGCTACGTTTATTTATTAAAAAATAAACACGAAGCAATCGATAAATTCATTCTTTATAAGAATGAAGTGGAAAACCAACTTAATCGACGGATTAAGACGGTTAGGAGTGATCGAGGTGGTGATTATGAAGCACCAATTGGTGACTTTTGCGCTAGTGTGAGTATAGTACACGAACGTACCGCACCCTATTCACCTCAATCAAACGGTGTTGCCGAACGAAAGAATCGCACATTGAAAGATATGATGAACGCGATGCTAGTAAGTTCGGGCTTGCCACAAAATATGTGGGGCGAAGCAATCTTGACAAGCAATTACCTTTTAAATAAGGTTCCCCGGAAAAAATATGATAAAACTCTGTACGAGTTGTGGAAAGGCAGACGGCCTTCCTATCAATATTTAAAAGTGTGGGGGTGTTTTGCTAAGGTGCTTGTACCAACACCTAAGAAAATAAAAATAGGTCCAAAACGGTGGATTGTATTTTTATTGGATATGCACAAAATAGTAGTGCGTATCGGTTTTTAGTGTAAGATTCGAATAATCCGGATGTACATAAAAACACAATAATTGAATCAAGGAATGCTTCATTCTTTGAAGATGTATTTCCATGCAAGTCCAACGAAGGGCCTAGCACGTCAAAACGAACATTTGACGTAGCTATGGAAAATACTAGCGAGGGATCCGGAGAAGAACTCGAACCCAGACGTATCAAACGTGCTAGAATTGAAAAATCCTTCGGACCGGATTTTCTCACCTACCTGGTAGAAGTTGACTCGGATATTCTAACATGTATGGTAGAAAATGAACCGGATTTTCTAACATGTTTGGTAGAAAATGAGCCACGGACTTATACAGAAGCCGTGACGTCTATTGAAGGTCCT